CCAAAATAAAAGCTATTTTTATATTTCTGTATAACATTATCAGTCAGTCATACTGTAGTAAGGTATTACACTCTTATAATAAACTGGCTGCGCAATAAACACAGACAGTTTAATTACCCATTTGTTCATTGACTGGTTTGATTAGGGGCACACCTACTTCCCCATCATACTCAAAAATCCCATTGTCTTTGCACATTAGAATGTTTTAACTCACAAGATAAATGCTCAAACTGTCTGATTGGGTGTGAACCCTTTGAAGATGGCTGTACAGAGAGTAAGTAAGAAGTGCTTTTAAAATGGCTGGACAGGCCTGGACATGACAGGAACCTGAAGAATCTGGGTAGAGCATCGCACAGAGACAGCCAGAAGTCCTACACATGCAAAAACAAAACCTCAGAGTAAATCTGAGCAACAGCTGCCCTCAGTCAATGCAGACGGAAGTTCACCAGCTAGCCAAAATGAACAGCAGAATGAACAGACGTTAAACATACACAGCTAGTTTACATGATTTTTCAGTTTACTTTACAGATTTTTTTTTTTTTTTAAATACATGGAAATATTAATAAAATGACAAACATAGCCAGTGAATTTACATGTCCAATGTAAAATAACTGTAATCATAAATTACTGCTGATTTAAAGAAAATGTCCCCCTTTTTCTTATATAATTTTATCTATATATATATTAATTTATTGTCTAATTATTAGTTAAATTCAAGTTTAAAACTGTTCATATATTTCTAGAATTATGTAAAATTAGTGACAGTTAACAGTACAAAAAAGGATTTGTTCTGTTACATGGATTTGTTTGTTAATTAACAGATATCTTGTATAATTATGGAAGTTTTCACAACAAAAACACTGAATAACAGTGTTTTTACATGTGTAAATATCTAGACATTAAAGCTGAAACCTGTATTTTCATTGTAGAAAATTATTTTGAATGAATAATTTTTACAAGTCAGTTTTTTGTTTGTTTTTTACAGTGTATGCTTTGTAAGGATGTCACAGGTTTGTTATCTATGTTTACTGTGTGAGTAAGAGGACGTGGTCAGCAGACTGACTGCTTGCTGCTACAAGGCGTCATGTTGAATGCTGAATGACCTTAAATTCTTGCCATGCAGCCCCAGTTGAGTTGACTCACTCTGCTGTCACACTGCAAGCAGCCTCATCAACCAGTCAGCAACACTCACTTCCTTTTAAACTAAGTGCTGGGTGGACAGCCTATAATGCAACCCACAAAAAGCCAACTATGGCTTTAACAGTTAGCACAGTTGAATCAACACCTCCTGACACTGCGAGTTCACAAAACCTAATATTACACCACAGATACTTCCCTCCGCAAGAGACAGTGCAGGCAGCTTCCGACTAGAGCACTATAACAGGTGCTGACTTGTTGCTGACAGCATCCTGTATGTTGCTTGCAATGACTCTGAAGAACCACATGTCCCTCCGAGTGCCGCCACGCAATGCAGGTTCAATTGGTTGAGAAATGGTTCTCTAGGTATCAGTTTGACAAAGCTGAAAGATTTCAGAGGCATTTTTCAATATTGAATTACCATCAGTAAAGTCAAGTTACCTCTTTTTTATACTGGTATTTATCTGATGAAACTCAATCTTAAAGAATCAAGCTGAACCAGGGTCTCATTTATAAGACAGACTTACAATCAACTTAGATTTTAAGTATGACTTACCCCAAAAAAAACACATATGTGTAGTTATTTATTAAAAAATACTCTATATACTGGTCCAAGGAATGAAAAGCAGTGAACCACAGACAGGGTCAAGGCTCAGTGAGTGAAAAAAGGGCAACCACTTACTGCATACTGTGGTTAGAAACTAAGCACAATTAGATGATAATTAGCCTGATCAGCCACTGTCAATAATCAATACACACATACAATTATTAAACCATTAATCAAACTAAAAACTAACAGTAGTCAGAAAAACCTTATTATACTTTAATGTTTCTGTAGAAGTGACAGAAGTGCAAAATAGTTCACCTGGTAGAGCTGGCATCCCATGTACCGAGGCTGAGTCCTTGCTGCAGTGGCCATGGCTTTAAATCTGACCTGCAGCCCTTTGCTGCGTGTCATCCCCTCTCTCTGACCACCTTTCCTGTCTATCTTCTGCTGTCACTATCCATTAAAGGGACATTGCGTAGTGTTTTAAGTATTTTATTAGCTAAAATCAATGTCTTCATTCATAAATGTGTCCTCATTGGTGTAAAATTACCTCTGCCAATGATTTGATGACTTATCCTCGTAAGCGAAGAATTTCTTATCTGTATATACATTGGACGGGCAAGTCCATGGAGGCTTCCATGTCGATCCGCCATTTTGAAAAACTACAATCGCCGAGAGGGACATAAAGCACTAGCCTACCTGTCGAGCTAATCCACAACGCGTTTTCGTTCGGAGCCAGCGTCACGTGACTGAAACCAGCTATAACAGAGAAGGAGATCAGTGAGAGGTGCTTGTCACTGCCCCGGCACATTTGAAAGTCTGCACTGCACTTTAGTTCATAATGGAGGATCATACTAGAGCCACAGGAGAAGGAATCCTTGTCACCAAAAAGCGAAAAAGGGAATTAAAAAGGCAACGTGACCGGCGAGTTCAAAAAACGAGGGTAAACATCGGGGTAGCTTTTCCCAGGTGGAAAGAGCTAATGAAGGAGAAAGACTTGCCTGTTTTCTCCTCGACAGGTAGGCTTCTTGGTACATAATGGCTACCGTAGTTGCAATACGCATTTGAAAACGCGAGGCACTAGAGAGCACTATTCGTTTGAATGCAAAATACAATTTCACCGCTATATGGGAGAAATTCCTACACAATGTCCCTTTAACGGCAATAAAAGCCAGAAAAAAAGAAGTGACAGTTAGAAAAGCTCCCTGCACTCTCTGGAGAAAATATTAACTCCCTTACGATTATCACATTTTAACAATTCCTTAAGTGTCCATAAAAACACACCACTCTAGAAACACAAGCTGAAGGCCGTCATGTGTCAACTGTCTTCTTGTCAATTCAGCATCAATATAATCCATAAAGATACACTTTATTCTGTACAAACATTTAATCTCCTCAGCTCGCTCAGCCTCCATTGGTTAGCTGCACTTAGTGTGAGAAGACTGAGAACGAGAACAGTTTCAAAAAATTATTTCTAACTGAAATAAGTTGTGGTTGGTGGATCAGATATAGGCTGAATTCAACACCACACACACACACACACACACACACACGTCAGAAATGAAGACTATGTTCAAGGGTAAATAGGGTTAATAGTTCTGTGTTGTTTATATTTCACCTTGTTGAATATAGCTTTCCTGTGGGTATCACCATTTCATATCCTGTCGTATTATCCATAGTTCTGGTGACGTTGCTCAGCTTTGGTCATATGAACACACATAAAGCTGGATAGGGACAGAGCTGGTTCCAGTTAAGAACCGGTTCCAAAATAAACAACAGTTTAACAGTGGAGCTTTGCAGACCTGAGTCATATGCATGCCTTTTTCTACTTTGTTGACTGCATTGACGCTGAAAACCTGTGTAACCTGTCAAACAGACAAGCAGAATCGATAATGGCATTGGTTTTAATAAAATCTTATCAACTCCCAGAGAACAGAACGTTTTATACCGGTTATCCAGCCAGTTAACAGGGAAACAGCTCCGTTCCGGTTTAAGCACCTAGCTTTAAACCATTTGGAGAATTACTACCAAAAATGATTTGGTTCAAAACCTGGAAAGTTGGTGCTGTGGTGGTTGGTTTTGTGTGGAACCCTTTGTAATCCAGGATGTGTCATCAACAGAGGGCGCTGCACAATGCACAACAAGTATACTGTGGTTCCCAAGGAAAACCTGCAATTTTTTTGTTCCAGCTGGGAACTAACTTGCCAGGTTCAGAACCAATTTATTTTTGATCGAAATGGTTCAGAAATAGGTGCTTGAACCAGAACAAACCTGATGCCCTGTCGGTGGAAAAGGCTTGAAAGAGAACTGGAACCTGCTGTGCAGCACAGGCCACACATCTGCTCCTGGACTGAGACCTGAGAACACTATGCAACTCTCAGTCAGGGTTTCTGCAGGTTTCATCAGGTTTTGACTTTTTAAAGATCCTTTTAAGACCATTTCAACTACAACAAAAAAAAAAAGCAGGAAGAATATGAAGAAAAATCAGTGTTGGTTCCACATCGGTTTTGTTTTGTAGTTCTTACAGCATTGATAGATAGATAGATATTCCTTTATTTGTCCCACAATGGGGAAATTCCAATGTAACAGCAGCAAAGTGGATAGAGAAAAAAACTGTAAATAAACAGTAAGAGTAGGGAAAATAATAAAAACACTATGTACAAGAGAGAGAGAGAAAAAAAAAGCATGATAGATTCTAAACAAAAGGCTGAAAAATACAACTTTATACTTATTATAAATAACTGTCAAAATCCTATTTAGGACATTTTGAAGCCTGAAATTGAGATTATTGGCTCTTAAACATTTAAAGGCCCGTGGAAACGCTGTCAATGAAGGCCTGTTCACTGATTTCCTTATCACTGATTGCATAATGTCCCCACCCTGCAATCTCTCAAGCTACAAACGTTAGATTTACCATAAATACAGCTTCAAATACTTTATTTTCTTTATTTACTAATCTATTTTAGTGGCATTATACTTCCCATTAACTATAATGCCTATAATGTCATCAGCTGCTGTCTTTAAGCTTTTATTTTGTTGGACACCATTTCTCACTCACTCATTTTTAAATTGAAGTTCTGTGTTCTTCTGTGCTACTTTCTCTATTTTCAAGTATTAAAAGCGGATGTAACAAATTGGGTTTTGTGACCTACATGAGGAACCTGCCGACTCAACTTCCTTATATGTGCAATCTTCACGTTCCGCCTGCTCTTACTGACCTTAAAGGTGTCAGAGTGGGCACCCACTTGCCCCCACACACCCAGCCTCCAACCTGCTCCCTGCATTCTCCCACACACAAACACACACACACACTCACGTTTTGAACATCTTCTCCATGTCTTTGATCTGGGTCCGGGAGAACTCCTTGAACTCGGTGTAGGGGTTGAAGACCCTCATGCTGGGCTGGCAGTGTTCCCCCTGCCCCTCGTTCAGCTCCTCTCGCCGAATCAGCTTAGCGCCCAGCTCCGAATCCGCGTTGGCCGTGCTCGGTTTTTCCTCCGACCCGTTCTGGTGTCCGGGGACGTCCACGGCGACCGGGTCCTCGGCCCCTTCTTCGATCTGCAGCCGGCGGCTGAGCTTGGACGAGAGCTCGTCTGTGGCCATTTTCAGACAGTGTGGCTGATAATGAGGAGAGAGCCGTTATCTACGTGAGCTAACTACAGTGGGAGAAGGCGTCAACGCACTGCCTTCTGTCGGGTTCTTCCCGCTGTGTGTACGCTGTACGCGGGTATTCGTGGCAACAGCTGAAGCAAAGTATAACAAATATCCCTGTTTAACTAACCTTTTTGTTTCTTGTCGTTTTAATTTCCGAGGCTCAAGCTCCAAGTTCAGATAAATAGCTCCACTCCAGGATGTTCAGTGTTGGCTCATTAGTTAACGTTACGTAGCAGTCTGTACGCCGACTGTCACGCTGTTGGCCCGCCTCTTAAAGAGACAGGCACACAGACTGTACAGCTACAGGTGATTTTGTACCTTCACCTTAACCCAGCGGTTCCCAATCTTTTTCCTTAAGGGCCCCTTATCTGTAATTGAGTAATAGACGTCCCCTGACTATATTCAGCAAATACAGAACAACTGATGAACCCAAACAGAGAAAACAATAACTGCAGGAAGGCTGTGTAAAAAGAGTAATGTGGATGGATTCTGAGCATTCTTTTTAGATTATTCTCTGGGAATACTTCATCAGGGATGAGTTTTTTTTTTATTATTTCAATAGGCTTCTTTTTTGACCTGTTCAGTGTTTTCTTCTCCCTGATACTTGGCCATTGTTCTTGGCTTGTGTTCAGGTCATCAAACGTTAGATATTAAATAACACGCTGTAATAAGATAAGTTATTTTAAAAACAAAAGATTGTTCAAACTGTTTACACTGAGAATGTTAAGTTACACAAAGGCAATTTAATTAAGTTTGAGTCAAACTGGGGCAGAGCGGGTCGTCAGCTAATCGGAAGGTTTAGGTTCGATCCCCGATCCTTGAGCAAGATACTGAGCCCCAAACTGCTTCTGAGTTTCTGTTCAATGGACTTCACTGTGTGAAAGAGCGAATGTGGCATGCAGTGTAAAAGCGCTTTGAGTGGTTGGAAGACTATACTAGCTATACAAATACAGGTCAATTTACCATTACAGTGTAATTTTAAAAAATAACAATTTAGTTTTCCTCACAAAAATAAATGAAATGTTGAGATATAGGCTTACTGTGTATATTTTACTGTGTAAGTTTTCTAGTACATCAAGGGGAGCCCATGGCCTTCCTGATCTAAGTGCCAGTACTTACCGGCCCATTTCAGGAACTGTGTAAAATACTTACAGAAAACTTACATAGCCATTGCAACAGGCTGCTGGTCTGCCATAATCCACTTTAAAGAATTGTATTGGGACGTTGGTCTTCAAGCAGCCTATAAGCAATACATTGGTTAGAACATCATTTCTGCAAAAAAAAAACAACAACAATGAGCTCTATCCTGCAAACTTACCAAACTTAATCAAAATAAAAGATAATTAAAAAAAATAATAAAAAATAAACTTTCACTGCTCATCCAGCTTATCATGCTTCTATTATTTGAGTTTGGACAGTTTTTTGAAGGTGAGATGGGGTTCCTCTATCATCGTTACTTCTTAATCTTAATCTAAGTTTAAAGTAACCCAAGTTTATTAGTATTGAAATTTTGAGGTCAGATAACCCAAATCCCCCAAATTTAGCATCACTAACAAGTCACCATTAATGTGTAAACAAGAAATGATTGTACTTTACCATTTTGTACTAGCAGGAATGTTACAATGTTGCAAAATGGCATCAAACTATACAATTAGATCACCATTACCAGTCCAACCTTACACAGAGAAAGATAAATGTTTTAAGTAAGATTTAATACTCTGTTTTTTAATATTTTACTGGAGCTGACAAACCACCAGCCCCAACTTTCAGCAGCTGTGAGTATCTCCTCTATGTCCATTTAGCATTGTATTGTGGGACAACAGCATACGTACAAAGCACCTTCAATGTGCTGTGTGTGTCTCGTTGTGTCACTGTTTCCATGTGAACACACCAGACTCAAATCCTGCTTAGAATGACCACGTAGTCTGGAATAAGGATACAACACTGAGATCAAGCTCAGGGGGCAGACTGAAGGCTGATGTGCAACTGTACATAAATTCATGAAAGAGACTGGAATTTCAACCCCCCCTATGTGTTCATGTCCCTGTAAATAACCCAAACCTCCATTCTCCAGCTGCACCCACAGCCTCGTCTTCATTCTGTGCCAACTCTCTGCTGCCCTCCAGTGTTAGTGAAGTGGTAAGACAAATCATAGACACAAAATATACACAAGCCACTGTAACCAGTGGAGAGAATCCTTTTCTATGGAAGTAAAGTTTGGGGCCCATTAATTAAACAAAAGCACTGCAGTTGAATAGTAAACAAACAAAATAAATAAAAAATCAAAAAACGTGTCCATTGCTCAACACTTTACCTAACCTTGTTGAACGTCATGAGGTCAAGGAAAGATGTGAGGGAGAACTCAAAAGGCCTAGGAAAAGACAACTGTGGTGCTGCGAGAATCTGGCTGCACTTACTGGTTTTTTTTAAACTTTATTTATATAGCCCTTTTCAAAACCGATGTTCCAAAGTGCTTCTCAGTTAGCAAATAATCAGAGACAGATGGTCAACAATAAAAGGAATAGAAAAGCAATGTATAATGGTACAGTGAGGATATTATAGTACACAGCATAACAGCACAAAAGAATACAATTTAAAACAAAAGCAGATTCTGATCAGCAATATAAGCAATGGGACGAGAAACAACATTAGGATAATTAAAACCAGTAAAAACTGCAAATGGCAGTTCAGTTCAGTTTATACAAAGAGTACATTTAACCAGCAACTCACAGGAAGTAACAACAAAATACATATTGTTAAATATTATAAAATAATAACAGAACAAACAGGAATTAAATGTTGAAATAATAACAACACACAACAGTGATATATGGAATATAAACCTTTAAAATAATCCTTAAATAAAAATAAGGAACTGAATTTTCTGGCATGAGCGCTTTTGACCTTTTTTATACATTTAAGTAGACAAACCTTTTTTTTTAATGCATTACACACTGGGGGATTTAGCGAAACAACATGTGTATATATTTTGCGATCATGATAATAGTGTAAACTAAAAATGAAATTGCTTGTTCCTAAGGTGACTCCTAACTAGATACATTTGTACAAGAGAAGATCTATGTTTATGGATTGGAGTATCATACTTTTTGGATGGAGTCACAAAACAGGTGCTGTCTTGTTATTGCCATGGTGAAACTACAATGTTACTTCGCTTGAAATGTTGCTGGCGCAAGGAATTGTGGGGACAGCATTATCTCCTTTCATATCATAAAGGAGGTAAGAAAGGAAGCACTGAAGTGCCTTTTTCTCAGCATTTAGAGAATTCAAAAGAGACTTCTGGACTTCTGGAAGATTACATCTTGAGTTCAGTAAAAACATATTGAGAGTCCATGAAAACAGCAGGGCCAGTTCCCCCTCTTATCAAAATGAAAAAAGAATAATCACATTTCAGAACCTTTTGATAGAGTCAGATTCAGATTCACACCAACACAGAGCAGACACAGCAAAACAAAGACGTCCCAGGTAAAGATACATGGAATGGAACAAATGAGCTAATACTTCAAAGTGATACTATGAAAATAATTCCCAACTCACAAGTTAAACAAATAGACAAAGATAATTAACTAAAATATTTCAAAGTAGTTGCAAAATATTTAACCAAAATAAAACCTCCAACATACATAAAAAGACAACCCCTAACTAGATATAAACTTACTGACCATACACTCGCTATTGAAAGTGGTCGCCATAATGGCAAAAAAGAACAGAGGATTGTGAAAGGATTTTCAGTCAGGATTTAGAGTTCATCACAGCACAGAGACAGCTCTGGTTAAAGTTAATAATGACCTTCTGATTGCTTCAGACAATGGACTTGTTTCTGTACTTGTATTATTAGATCTTAGTGCTGCATTTGACACTATTGACCATAATATTCTTTTACAAAGACTTGAGCATCAAATTGGCATTAAAGGATCGCACTAAGCTGGTTTAAGTCATATTTATCAGATCGCTCGCAGTTTGTACATGTTAACGATGAATCTTCCATAAATACTACAGTTAGTCATGGAGTTCCACAAGGTTCTGTACTTGGACCAATACTATTTACTTTATATATGCTCCCTTTAGGCAACATTATTAGAAATCACTCCCCTAACTTTCACTGTTATGCAGATGATATGCAGTTATATCTATCAATCAAGCGTGATGAAATTAATCAATTATCTAAATTACAAACATGTCTTAAGTACATAAAATCTTGGATGAGCTGCAATTTTCTTTTGTTAAACTCAGAAAAAAACGAAATTCTTGTACTTGGCCCCAAAAATCTTAGAGACTCACTGTCTAAAGATATAGTTACTCTAGATGGCATTACCTTGGCCTCTAGCACCACTGTCAGGAATCTTGGAGTTATCTTTGTTCGGGATTTGTCATTTAATTCCCACATGAAGCAGACCTCTAGGACTGCCTTCTTTCATTTACGTAATATTACAAAAATTAGACACATCCTATCACAGACAGATGCAGAAAAACTAATCCATGCATTTGTTACTTCTAGACTGGATTACTGCAACTCTTTATTATCAAGTTGCCCCAATAAGTCCATTAAAATGCTCCAATTAATTCAGAACGCTGCAGCACGAATACTGAGAGGAACTAGAAAAAGAGATCACATCTCTCCTGTACTAGCTTCTCTGCACTGGCTCCCTGTAAAATGTAGAATAGAATTTAAAATCCTCCTCCTCACCTATAAAGCTCTCTATTACCCCTCTAGAACACTACGTTCTCTGAATGCTGGGCTACTTGTGGTTCCAATAGTCTCTAAAAGTAGAACAGGAGCCAGAGCCTTCAGCTCCTCTCCTGTGGAATCAGCTTCCAGTTGTGGTTCAGGAGTCAGACACCCTCACCACATTCAAGAGTAGGCTTAAGACATTCCTCTTTGATAAAGCTTATCGTTAGGGCTGGATCAGGTGAGTTCTGAACCACCCCTTAGTTATGCTGCTATAGGCCTAGACTATCAGGGGATTTCCCATGGTGTACTGAGCTCCTCTCTTCCTCTTTCTTTCTGCACTCATTCAGGTCCCATTAATGCATGTTACTAACTTCACTTCTTCCCCGGAGTTCTTGTGCTTTCTCATCTCGCAGGTTCTTATCGATCCTGGTGGAACCTCCTGCCATGGTCCTGCTAGACTGCCATTACCAATACTATTGTTGCTTTGCACCTGTCTGTCCGCCTGTCTGCCTGTCTCTGTCTCTGTCTGTCTCTCTCTGTCTCTC